TATGAGAATTTTTAATTTATCTGATCCTTTCCTACCATTGTTTTTATTTGTTAGTTGTACTTGTTTTATGTTCCTTTATAATATATTCTTACTTTTTAAAGTTTGATACTTACATCTTGCACTAATCTCAGGAAACTATAAGTCATTTATATCTTTTTGTAAATTAAGTCTGTTAGATCAGTGCCTCTCAAACCTTTCTAAAACCTGTACTTTGATTCAGTAAGTCTGGAGATGGGAGCTAAGATTCTTTAAGTAGTTTATTTTCTGTATGTTTCCAACATATCTATATGTAGCTTGATGAAACTCAATAAATGTGGAAAGGTAAGCACCATGTATAAAGAAATTCCTCAGTGGAGCATTCCCAGATGGGGGCTGTAGGGGTCAGTCTGTGGGATCCTAAAAACCTGAAGAACAGTTTTTTGTTTCTTTTTAAAGACAGCTAAAAACAAACATGGGTGAGAAATCTGGGAATACGGTTTGTCTAATTTTAATTTTTTTCTGGAACAAGCCTGAATGGTACCATATTTAGCTCTGGGGAAATAGGACCCCTGTCCTGGGGGCTATACTTTAAAAGATGCAGATCTGGCCCTTCTATGGCAGTGACTTTTCCCCTGGTGTAAGACAATCTTAGGGCAAAGAAGAGGTGCTTTCTGGAGCCCAAAACTCTCTCTTCTATATCACATGCATTCTTCTCTTTCCAAATGTCCTGCATCCACCTCTAGGAACTACATGGGCTTCATTCTCAGAATGTCCTTCCCAGGACAAACCATGCCACCCATGTGAAACAGCCAGGAGTAGATTGTCTAGAAACTGCAGGGATTAACAGTGTGGAGGAAGGTGCTTGGTATATCCACATAGCTGAAACACCTTGCACTGTAGCACAAAATGGGCATTAGTGGAAAAGGAAAACAATGTGAGTGGGTTACAGTCTTCCACTTGCACTTTTGTCCTGAGCCTTGCAAATGTTAGAGCCAGGCTTGGATCTGTGTGGAAATTTTCAATGTTTTTGATTGCTTTGATTTTTCTTTGGTATACGTGGGACTGCTGTTGAAACAGATAAAACCTTGAATTGCTTCCATGTTTAGTTTCTGGAAGCAGTCTTTGTCCCAAAAGATCTCCACCTTTATGTCTGAACAACTTATTATAAATTAATTGCTATATGTTTAGGTATGATTTTGAGAAAGAGTTATGGTAGAAAGAATCAGAGGGCTCTGAACATGAAAGCAGAAACCATGAAGACTTTTGGAACATATGGAGAATAAAAGCAAATGACTTGTCTTATTTTCTTTGAATTGTATAAGACAAGCACAGAGTGGCACACAGTTTATGGCCAATAAACATTGCTCATCTTTTGATAATGAATGGATTGATGAGAAAGAAACTCCGAAAACAAAATTCGTTGGTTTTCTTCACCATTCTACCTTCCACACCCATGATCAAACTAAAAGCTTAGCTTTCACAGCACCAGCTGATGGTGAGTTCCCTATATTAGTATTTGGTCAGACTATTCTGACTGAAAAAATAACAGTAAGATCCCTTAGTTTGGTAAGTATAGTGAGGGAACCTCTCAAGGACTTCGGAGTTAGGCTGGGACTTACTTAGACTGAGATTAGGGATTCTAGCCCTAGCTCTGCCACAAATTAGGTATAAGATCTTGGTAAGTCATTAGATTTTACATTCCTTAGTTACAAAATCAGAACTATAATAATTCATCATTATACTTAGATAAAATAAATAGAAAACAATGTCTTGAAACAATGTGGTACTATAAAATGCTAAATATTAATGTAGTTATATTTAATACACAATAAAGTCTTCTGCTTCTCTGTGTCTACAGTTGAATAGGATATTTCAGATAAAAGTATATCCTGGAATAATACTGTCATGTGGAACATCACAGATACAAATAAGAACTTTAAGTTTTCTCTAATTTTGTCTGATTTGATATATTTAAAATAGGACCATACAAACTTTGTAGGCAGTTTTATGACTTGTGGATCAATTTTTTAGTAGAAACTAGGCTCCGAAATCAAGCTAGGTGTAAGCGAAGTTAAGTCAAACCAGCAGGGATACTGCTGAAGAATTCCAGATAATTTTATCCCAAAATATGACACCCTGGTATGCTAATTATTTTAAATTAAACGCTCTTGAAAGTCAGATTTTGGAAAAGGCTCTTCTCTGCTATTCCCTTATCTACCTTAGGACTGGATCCACCAAAAACAACACAATTACCTTCCAATTCCTTCTTGATATTTCATTATCTATCATGGAAAAGAAGACTAAAGAATGAAACCACATCTGGATGAAGATTTTCACAAGATAATGCCTGCCTCCTGGGATCATTTAAATTCCATAGAGAATCATATAATTTTGGACTCCAAATTTGTTCATTCGCCCTCATAATCATCTACCACCCCCTCAAAAGGATTGTCTACATTTTCTATCTCCCACACCATGAATAAGGGTATATGTGCATCTGTAGTCCCCTGGGTTAATAGGTAATACTGTGATTACCCCATGCTGTGCAGATTAAATAAATTTGTAGACCTCTTCCTAATTAATTTGTCTATTTTCAGTTCATTTTCAGGGAATCTTCAGAGGGCAGAGGGGAATCTTTCCCTTGGCCCATACACTGCCATTATAAGGGGACACATTTTTTCGGAGATACAGATTCATACATTTTATGATGTGTTTCTGTGTTTGGTGGATATGTTGAAATTCTACCCATTCGGCCAGATCTTGACAGTGATGTTTAAAGAATACTGCTCAAAATATCAGGACACTTACATTAACATTCTGACCCTCCCTTTTACTAGTTTCTCAATCTTTGTTTAAACAAATTAATTACTTATTTATGTTTTCATTTACCCATCAACAAGGCAAAGTAATTAGTTCCTTATATTTTCATTTACCCATCAACAATTATAATAAAAACTGAAATATTTTTTCTACAAAGCTATTACAAGAAAAGGAGAGAGAAAGAGAGACAGAGACTGATAAATATGCTTTGGAACATACAAGTTCTTACCCAAATGTTAGCCGTCAGTGTTGTTAACTAATTTTTAAATTCTAGGCTCAGGAGTAGTATCATTTTGCTCCATACACTTTCATGTGGTTTCTTGTGGGACCAATGGACTACAAGAACCAGATGATTAGTTGAAGATTGAGAGTATCTCCAGAAGAAATCAAAGATGGCTGGTGTAATGAGGCCAATTCCATTATTGTTACATGACTATACTTCCTAAAAAGACTGAGGGTTATATGTATCAAGTTAACTTGCTCTTTGGGAAGTCAACATGTTACTTTGTCTTGCATGGACTTCTTTGTAGTCTTTTTTGTACCTGAGAAACAGTGCCTAGCTGAGATTATGGTTTGTTTAATAATAGCAGCCAAATTTAAAGACTTTATATATCCTAGTAAAATACTGAATCAATTCGATAAGCCACAATTTCTTCTGAAAGTAACAAATGCCAAAACTATGAATAGGTACAAATTTTTAACTAGAAAGTATGCTATTGATTCTGCTTCTCTGATGCAGAATATACTACATATATTTAATTATCTAAATTCTTGAACAGCATTTGGGATAGAAATTTAGAAGCTTGTGTGATATAGTTCCAGCAATCATATCCAGAAATAAATATCCGGATGAGTTAAATTAATGTCTTTGTGCACGTACACATGCACACACAGACACAGACCCACAGATTTACACATGGCTACGTCTATAGACAGCAAGCTCACATTTATTTATACTTAAATATTTGAATATACCTTATACAGTTTCATCTTCCTATCATCAAATTATATTTTTCTCCTTGCAAACCCTGGTCTCCTAAAAGATTTGTATGTCTACAATGACATATTTAAAAAGACTGAAAGATAATCCAAAGTAATCTGTAATCTCTCATTCCTGGCCCTCCTTCTGTCAGTTTAGCTAAGGAACATAAACAAGAAAGTAACCCAAGAGCCAAAGGAAGAGTCTGCCATCACCATCATTTATTTGTATTCTGCATGCTAATTGTGTTCTTTCTGTGGTTTGATAATTTGGGATCTCAGATTTAGGGGTGAAAATTATTACAGCTGCATTAAGGCTTGGCTCCCACATTTCGCTGTATTTTTACTTTCGTGGTCATTTAAAAGACATGTCTAGAGTTTGACAAAGCATTGATGACTCTCAGTAAGAATAACGTGCACAAATGGATCCAGGCTTCCCAATAAATCTGAATCCAGGCTGAGCGGTTGTCTGAGCACTTCCCCCAGATTTGCTGCAGAATACTGCCATCAAGTGTGGAGTTACAATGGCAGTTTCTAGAGGTAGTTTCAGTGGAGCTGTGGTAGCGCATGGGTTTTTTTCAGAACTCTGATCCTCAGATATGATTTCTTTTTCAATTTTTTGACAAGTTCTCAGTAGACACCAAATGCCTTTTAAAAATTTTCACAGAATCTTGCCTTGATACAGCCCTTTTAACCTCCAGAGCAAAGGATCTTTTATATACTATATTCTACAGCCCTAACTTTACCAGTAAATATACTTGGAAATATGTCTCAGAATTCTAATCACTTTTTTCTGTCTAATTCATGTCTTGGTATTGAGCCTGAATTAATCCTCCTCCTCTCTGATCACCTTTAGCACTGAGTCTCAATCTCACATCATAAATAATTTCTCATCTTTATAAACATCAATGAATATATCTTTTAAAGTTAATAAGCTATTTGATGCATATTTTAATTGATCAAATCCAGTTGGCTATCTTGGAGAAGTGATGGCGATCTGTAACCCTAGCGTGATAGTTGAGTGTCAACTTGATTGGATTGAAGAATGCAAAGTATTGTTCTTGGGTGTGTCTGTGAGGGTGCTGCCAAAGGAGATTACCATTTGAGTCAGTGGACTGGGAGGGGCAGGTTCACCCTCAATCTGTGTGAGCACTATCTAATCAGCTGCCAGTGCAGCTAGAATAAAGCAGGCAGAAGAAGTTGGAAAGAGCAGACTTGCTGAATCTTCTGTCCTTCATCTTTCTTCTGTGCTGGATGCTTCCTGCCCTCAAACTTCAGACTCCAAGTTCTCCAGCTTTTGGTTTCTTGGACTCACACCAGTGATTTGCCAGGGACTCTCGGGCTTACTACCACAGACTGAAGGCTGCACTGTTGGCTTCCCTACTTTTGAGGTTTGGGGGCTGGCTTCCTAGTTTCTCAGCTTGTGGATGACCTACTGTGGGGCTTCACCTTGTAATCAGGTGAGTCAATTCTCCTAATAAACTTAGGCCAATTCTCCCCTTCATTTATACATATATCACATTAGTTCCGTCCCTTTTGAGAACCCTAGTGCATCTAGACATGTACAGCCCCATCCAATTTACCCAGTGTACTGCACCTCTCTTTCAATGGCCCAAAACTTCCAAATTCCACCAATTTTTAGCAAGACATCCTAGATATCTAGAAGCCTGGTGGTGATATGACAAAAGGGAGGTGACTAAAATCTGCACAAGATCTTCTTTTGAACCAAGACCAAGTCCCCTCACTTTTATGTTATAGTCATTAATCCATTCAATCTTATAGAGTATTTCACTTTTATAAAGTCTTCTAGATGCTTGTAAGCAGGGCATACATAAGCAAGTTGTTTGCCCTACAAAGCACTTAGTTAAATGACATAGACATTTTAATTTTATTAAGAAGAAAACTCATGGGAAATAAGTCAGTGGAAAATGAGAGCAACTATATGTCACATGACATAAAACATTTTAAAATAAAAATGTAGACTTTGAGCTCAGAGAAGGCACTTTCCATGAGGCAAATTAGAACATTAGTTAATATACCATGTGTCTAGTATTATCTAATGATTGCACATGTTCAAAAAGTTGGAAGTTTGCAGAATTCAATTAAATTTCAGTCTGGCATTTTAAGCACTTTATATAAAAGGAACAAAAAGTTTTACCCCTATTTGCAACACACAATAGTATTACATATGTTCAGATGATAGCGTAGAGCCATAATGACAGACCCTATGCTAAGTATTTCACATATGCTATAGTCCAGTAATAAATATTTCTGTGCTTTAAATTAATGTCTTTGTGTGCATACACATTCATATAAAGATACAGGCACACAGATTTACACATGGTTGTGTCTATAGAGAGCAAGCTCACATTTTTTTATACTTAAACATTTACTTATACCTTAGACAATTTTAACTTTCTATTATCAAATTATTTTGATAGATAGGTAAAATTATTCATATACTATAAAGGTGGTCAAGTAGTTTTAGCTACTTAACACATTAAATGTTAGAATAGCCATGATTTGAATGTAGGCCTATGTGATTCTACTCCATAAACGTTAAAGATTTTATATAATAGTATAAAGAATCACTAAAGTCATTCAGTATAAGTTGAGTTGTTTGGTTTTCTGTTAGGTTGATAATTATTAAATATTTTCTTTTGATTTGGGCACAGAATTTGCTAATCATGGTTTCTTCTCCTTTTCTTCTATCAGTGTGAAATGCATATACATGTACTACTCTAAATCCAAATCTTGAACACCCTTTGAAATACAGCTCAAATATTTGTTTTTAGAAATTATCTGCACTAATTCATCTCATATCATTTTGACTATTCTGATACTTCATCAGTATCAGTGCTTAGATTATCTATTTATATTTACATTTTTACATTTATTGTAAGATTGTTCGTAGTTGGTTCTTGAATATCAGTCTAACTTGGTTGCAGCTTCCTCCAGTAAAGGAATCAAGTCGCAATGAAATTTCCATCCACTATTCATTGCTACCTAGAACCCAATACACTAGCTCATAGCATTGCTGTTGGAGTGTTTCCTGTGTTGATTAATATTTAAATCCAAAGGACTAAGAATGTTTTATGAGTGAAAGAACGGATTACAAAGCTGTGAATTCTAAGCCATATTCAGCCTAATGAACCACATTTAGGTAAATAGTTGAATGTTTTGGGTTACAAAAAGGACTTCATCATGTAAGGATTATAATATTTAAAAATGTGTTCCTATGTGCTATTGATTTGGTAGGTAAGAAAAGGTCAAAAACTGACATAGTAACTAAGGAATAAATTTAGATCCCAACATCATTGAGACAACATGGCAAGCAGTGTCTTTCAATAGGAAGACAGTAGATCTAGGAGGTAAGGGATGTGGGTTGTATTTTCTATTCTTAGATTTACAAAGTGAAATGTAAAGCATACCTCTTAATCTCCTGACCATAGTTTCCTCACCTGTAAAATAAAGATATAATGTTATATAGTTACATATGTCCATCAGATCTCATGGGTGGTGAAGAATAAATGGGATATAAGATGAATGGTATTGTAAGTTTTATATTAACAAAAAGGATTAATCACTGTAAAAAGCACACTTGGTTGGATAGCAAGAATAACTGGCTTTTGTTCTCTTTCTGGATTATGCATGCTACCTTGTCAGTCAGCAGCTGGTCTGGGTTGCGGCATAGCTATTTTAAAGGAATCTCAGTCTGTAGCACTGCCAGTGTACTATCCACTGATTAAGAGGCTCTTGAGCTCTGTGGGCTAAGAATTGCTCTTTTATTGTATCCTATCAGTTGTCTAGCATGCATCTAGTAAAAAATCTTTGCAGCAAAGATCTTCATAGATAGGCTGAGTGGGAAAGGCTTGGAAAATAACAAAGTTACTTTGAGGATGGCTTAGAAATGTCATTTTGACCATTTGCCCAATATAAGAGATGCTATGACCCATTTTTAATGTATACGTATATACATATATATGTGTGTGTGTATATGTATATATGGTGTGTATGTGTTTAATTAGGACAATCTTCTATAAGGTGCTAATAATATTGAGTCTTACAGTGGGATTAATCTCTAGAATTAACATCTGCATCTATTCTGCAGAATCAATATGATTTTGAGGGGTCAAATGTAGAGGTTTATACTAACTGCTGCTTTGAACTAACCTTAGGTCTATTTTATCTAGGAACCAGAGAGTCACTTCCAGCAGTGAAGGAGAAAACTCTCAAATAGCCCCTCCGCATCTCCTACTTGATGCTTAATGCTGGTTGAGGATTTCAGTAACAATTCAGAATTAAGGAGCTATAACCAAAAGTGGACAACACTTAGAAAGTCAGCTCTTCTTTTCCTCAAGCCTTACTTTCCTGGATGCACAGAAGACCAACAAAACACTGGGATTAAGGAGAGATGGAACTTTGGTATAAATGAAAACCAAATATAGCAATATATTAGAGGTCACAATCATGACTGACAGGGATTAGTGAACTACCAATATCCAGTGAGACTGGAATGCTCTCCAGTGGCATCCATACTAATCCGTATGGGTACAGGCTGCTCACTTCCCCTTCTGCAGTCTCATGGATTGGAATCTTTCCCTGCCCTGTGGCCCTACCACCCTCTGCCTCTGAGCCTAATCTTGATTTTTATTTCTTCAAACTGCTGGCCAGAATTCTTTCTCAACCTGGATAGATCATCCTATAACCACAACTCTGTGATTCAACATGGAAAATAACTGCTGCTAAGTCTTGCATTTAAGGTTAGTTAATTTGGGTACGGACACCAACATTGCAAGTAAGTTTAGCTATTCCTCATTTTTGTGATTTCATCCCAATTCCGTAAGTTACTCACATTTTTAAATTTTTTATTTTTATTTTTATTTTTTCTGAGACAAGGTCTTGCTCTGTTGACCAGGCTGGAGTGCAATGATTTACTCGCACCTCAATGCAACTTCCACCTACTAGGTTGAAGCGATCCTCCCATCTCAGCCTCCCAAGTAGCTGGGACTACAGGGGCAAGCAGCTAATTTTTTTTTTTTTTTTTTGCACTTTTTGTAGAGACAGGATTTTGCCATGTTATCCAGGCTGGTCTCAAACTCCTGAGCTCAAGCAATCCACCAGCGTCAGCCTCCCAAAGTGTTAGGACTACACGTGTGAGCCACTGCACCAGCTGAGTAACTCTAACCTTAAATCATTTTTTCAACTTACCCCCACTTCCCAGACAACTCCCTCTTTTGGTGACAGCATCTTTTGGTATGAAGTATACATAGGAAATAAGGTAAACTTCATTATCTTTGCTGGGTGATTTTATACTTGTTTGCTCACAGCCAGGCTCTGCTCTGAGACCTTCTCTGACTTCCTGGCTCCTAATGATTATTTCCCTTCTCTGAACTCCTTTTCCATCCATCTATACCATTCACTTGAGACATAACAAATATTCCATTTGTAATTATTAAGTGTTTGCAGAAGTCCATGACCTCGGTGTTATAGGCTTCTAAAGTGCAAGTACTATACTTCATAATTCTTTCTGTATCACATTATGCTCTGCAATACCTTGCTTAATTTATGTGTAGCAAATATGTTGATGACGAACATTGTATTTTTCTTTTTTTTTTTAAATAGCTTGTAGATGTATTTATTTATTTATTTTTATTATTATTATACTTTAAGTTCTAGGGTACATGTGCATAACGTGCAGGTTTGTTACATATGTATACTTGTGCCATGTTGCTGTGCTGCACCCATCAACTCGTCAGCACCCATCAACTCGTCATTTACATCAGGTATAACTCCCAGTGCAATCCCTCCCCCCTCCCCCCTCCCCATGATAGGCCCTGGTGTGTGATGTTCCCCTTCCTGAGTCCAAGTGATCTCATTGTTCAGTTCCCACCTATGAGTGAGAACATGCAGTGTTTGGTTTTCTGTTCTTGTGATAGTTTGCTAAGAATGATGGTTTCCAGCTCCATCCATGTCCCTACAAAGGACACAAACTCATCCTTTTTTATGGCTGCATAGTATTCCATGGTGTATATGTGCCACATTTTCTTAATCCAATCTGTCACTGATGGACATTTGGGTTGATTCCAAGTCTTTGCTATTGTGAATAGTGCCGCAAAAACATACGTGTGCATGTGTCTTTATAGCAGCATATTTATAATCCTTTGGGTATATACCCAGTAATGGGATGGCTGGGTCATATGGTACATCTAGTTCTAGATCCTTGAGGAATCGCCATACTGTTTTCCATAATGGTTGAACTAGTTTACAATCCCACCAACAGTGTAAAAGTGTTCCTATTTCTCCACATCCTCTCCAGCACCTGTTGTTTCCTGACTTTTTAATGATCGCCATTCTAACTGGTGTGAGATGGTATCTCATTGTGGTTTTGATTTGCATTTCTCTGATGGCCAGTGATGATGAGCATTTTTTCATGTGTCTGTTGGCTGTATGAATGTCT